GTCACTTTTTTATTTTTTAAAAATATGCAATATTTTTGTACATTACATTGTACAACTTTAGAAAATAAATATATAAAAACAAGAAATTTGAGTTGATACAAAACACTTGTCATGACTATATAACAATTTAACTACATTTGTTCGATAATATTAAATTCTTTATTTCTCCCTTCATTATGTATATGTACATCATTATTTAGTACAAAAGATATCACACACGCACTCGCAGACACACTCGTAATTAATCGCACCTAATGACATAATTTAGTTAATATTCATTCAATTTTTTAATGTCAACTATATAGTGAGTTCACTTTTCAATATATATTATTATTGTATCTAATTGATGGCTTAAAAGGGTACAAAGTATTATAAAAATTCAATGTCCTAGGAATATTGTGTTCGATTCTTAAATATTTACTATATATCGTTTGAAGCGGCAATCATCAGTTCTTCATTCTTACTGTTTATAATCGCTTGATTATTACTGAAACTCTTATCAATACATACATATCGTCTGCGACGACTTCTTGGAGCTCTTATAGAGTTATCATGGACATTTAGAAGATGACACGAGGTACAAGCGCCATCTAGACAACTTCACATAGAAGAGCAATTACCGAATACGTAATAGATTTAGAAACATTTACATAACTTAAATTGTACGACGTACACAATATTTTATTATGGTAAAACTAAGATCTGACTCTTTCTTTCATACAATGATTATGGTAAAAATATTGGTTCCACATAGAATCATGGGATATCAAATTCATCATACACACAGCATCCTCCAAATACTTTGAAACCGTAATCATAAATTATTAAAAATTATTATTAAAAATGAAAAATTACAAAACGTTTGTAGTTAATCCTTATTATGAGGTGCTATGTAATATTTCATTCATTCATATTTTATATTTGTGTACATGTGCCTACATACATATATGAATAATGATTGAATAATTTAAATTGATATTATGGAGTATGGAAAAAAATAAGAACTTTTCAGTAGGGAAGATTTTTTAAGAAGCTGTCTTGCTTATGAATGTAAACGAAATATAATTTTATAACTTGATTCTAACTACTTCATATAATAGGTAACTTTTCGATAGTAAGTTTTAACTCGTATGT